TCGCTGTAAGAGGACGATCACATGGATGTGACTATTGTGAGTCAAAGTTATAGCGCCACCAACTGGCAGCAGGAAGTGTGTCACTTTCAAAATGCTTTGAAATCACCCTTTTATTTTTACCCGATTTGCTTCAAACTTAATCTGTATAATGTAAATATACGGCAGATGTAGACCTGTGAATGGATTCTTGATATCTTTTAAACTGTTGCCGTGGCAACGCATCAAACTTTACCATTCTTTTAGGATGCTTTTGAGACCCTTGGCATGCTTTAAATTGCATGAAACTCGACAGACACATCACATTTATTAGCCAGTGGACACGTGCAAAGTTTCAGAAACGGGCGTGGTGAGGGCTCAGTAGCGCCACCTTTTGACAAAAGTGGGGTTGTTAGTTTTAACTAGAGTTACAAAAATCGGTATGTATATTGTACTCCTCGAGCCGGACAACTTTCTAATTGACACTCATTAGCTAGGACCCACAGAAAGTCAGATATCTTTGTTTGAATGTAGAGAAAATCTTAGAATTTTGCCAGTCTCTCAGTGTCTCTCTGTGTGAGTGAGAGGAGGGGCGCCTGTCAGGTTAATTTTAACCCTTTATTTGCTGTGTGCGACTTCTCTGGCATTTTCGGGGGCCTTAACATCCTCGAAAACGCTTGAAACTTTGCACACGGGTCAGAACCCATGGCCATCAGGGCCGGGCTGAAGCTGGTCATCGGGCGTGGCAGGGCGGCTCGACAGCGCCCCCTGGACTGGGATTCGAACATTTGTCCATAAATCAAACACACTTGCGTGAATTAATATGAAACTCGGTACAATTATAGATCACATCAGGCCAAACAACTTTCGTGCTCTAAGTTTTACGACAATTAAAATGGAAGTTGAGAATTATGGGTTGTTTGAATAGTTGTCCTAGGAGAAATACATCAAATTACAACGCATGTGTTTACCAATCACAACCAAACTCGGTGTGCAAGAAGTCAAGACATTGAGGATGAAAGTTTGTGAGGGGATTTTTGATATCTCAAACGGTTTGGCCGTGGCGAGGAAACGAAATTATGGCGAGAAACGTGAAACAGGAAGTGTGTTATAACTTCAGCATACATTAACATATCTTGATGAAACTTCATCAGTGTGTTCGCTGTAAGAGGACGATCACATGGATGTGACTATTTCGAGTCAAAGTTATAGCGCCACCAACTGGCAGCAGGAAGTGTGTCACTTTCAAAATGCTTTGAAATCAACCTCTTATTTTTACCCGATTTGCTTCAAACTTCATCTGTATAATGTAAATACATGGCAGATGAAGACCTGTGAATGGATTCTTGATATCTTTGATACTGTTGCCGTGGCAACGCATCAAACTTTAAAATTCTTTTTTTTTGATGATTTTGAGACTCTTAATGGCTTTTGAGGCCCTTAACGGGTTTGAAAACTCTTGAAACTTTGCACACAGGTAGGGATGGGGCCGATCCGATCCAGTATCGGTATCGGGACCGATACCAGCGTAATTCACGTATCGGATTTTTCCGATCCAACCTGCGGAGAAATCCGATATTTATGATCCATGTCTGCGCTTTAACGTTGGCTGCTGAAATGACTCCAAAAGGGATTCCCCGGGGCTGCTAGTCTGCTAGCTGGCTGCAAACTGTGGAATGGATATCCTGAACGGAGGTGCAGCTCAATCATAGACTGTAAAAAATAGGGCTCAATGAGACACACAGACCCCCGCTCAAGAAATCCATTCCGCAGTTTGCAGCCAGCTAGCAGGATAGCATTGAGCTACCAATATGTTCGCTGTGTGGAAATCATATGGTGGAAATACTTCACACTGGAAACACCGCAGCAGAGCAAGACAGCAAAATGCAATGTTTGCAAAGCCGTATAAATTAAACTAACGTTATTTGTCTGTGATGCATGTTTGCAATTCGCAGTCCAGAAGAGAAAGAGAGAGATCTCTCACGCGGTGCCACAGCACGCACAACACGACAGCCCTGCTTAATGAGTGACGACAGAGAAAACATAGCCTGGTTACACTTTAGATCTGTGATATTAGTCTGATTTCCAAAGATTAAAGAATATATTGAGGTAAAAAAAAACATTAAACAATAGCCGCATTCTGTGTTGCCAACTTCCTTCCCATCGCGGCGGTGCTCTGTCATTTCTCCGTAAAACTCAAACTTTAAGACAGAATCAGCACGATCGGTAATTGTTGTAAAATGCCGTCTCTGCTGTTGCTAAATTGCGGGACGCTTTTAATAATAAAAAGAGCTATTAAAAGCACAAAATTTGCGCAAGAGGGCGGCGCGCGCTCCGAAACAGACAAGCAAATTATACTTTGGGCTTCATATGCGCGTCTAAACGATCAAATGTAGCCTGCACAAAAATGTCAAAATGACTGGCTTGGAGATTATCACTTAACTACGTTCATTTTAGACATAAACGGTTTATGGAAATAGTTGGGAGAAAATATGGTGCATCAGTAGACTATGAAATCCGCACTAGTTCTTAAAGGGGCAGCAGTATAAATGTGACGATTGCGACATTACTGAGAATAAAACAACCAAAGGCAAAGAGAAAATCACTCACAGCTCTTGAATGAATAACTTCAGCTTTAATAAGCATAAATCTATCTATGATAAACTTTGCAGTGCTATTTTACTTTTGATTACTTTATTATAATTCTTTTTAGACGATATACCTGAATAATGTTAGTAGACCTTCCTGAAATTAAAGCACTGTGTAGGCCTGTATAATGCGTATATCTTTGTTTAATTGTCTATCTATTGTTTAATATATCTATTATATATATATATATATATATATATTGACATAGGCTACATACTTGCGTATCATCCTTGCTTGTAGAGAGGTGTTTATTTCAGCATCATATAAAATCAACAATAATGATAAATAATGTTAAAGCAAACACAGCTCTGGTATCGGAAAAGTATCGGTATCGGCCGATATCCAAAGTCAGGTATCGGGATCGGATCGGAAGTGAAAAAATGTGGATCGGTGCATCCCTACACACAGGTCATATCCCACAGCCATCAGGCCTGGGCTGAAGATGGTACCTAGGCGTGGCAGGGGGGCTAGACAGCGCCCCCTGGAACGGGGTCCGAAAACTTGGTCCATAAATCAAACACGCTTGCATGTAATAATATGAATGAAAAACTTCATCTGTATAATGTAAACAGATGAAAAACTTCATCTGTATAATGATGAAAAACAGATGAAAAACTTCATCTGTATAATGTAAACATACGGTAGATGTAGACCTGTGAATGGATTCTTGATATCTTTTAAACTGTTGCCGTGGCAAAGCTTCAAACTTTGAAATTATTTTAGGATGCTTTTGAGACTCTTAGCATGCTTGAAATTGCATGAAACTCAACAGACACATCACATTTATTAGCCAGTAGACATGTGCAAAGTTTCAGAAACGGGCATGGTGCAGGGACTAAATAGCACCACCTTTTGACAAAAGTGGGGTTGTTATTTTTATCTACAGTTACAAAAAATCATTATATACATTGTACTCCTCAAGCCAGACAACTTTCTAATTCATAGTCATTAGCTCAGACCAAGAGGAAGTCAGATATTTTGGTTTGAATATGGTGAGACTCTCTCTGAGCCTACGTCCGTGTATGGCAAGCCCCTTTAACATTTAAAAGCTAAGTTTGCCTATCCGGAAATTAACATTGTAGATATCAACAATGTCTTTCTGTCTAGTCGTAATTACATTTTGGATAGTTTGTATTATCATTTAAGATATCTGTAACATAATTGTGACTAGTCAAAAGGACAGACTATGGCAAGCCGTTTTAACATTTAATCATGAAAGGGCCAAAGCCTTTGGCACCGCCACCCCGGTGCCTTTAGGTAACTAAAGGAGCCGGGGTTGCGGTGCCACCGGCTTGGGCCCGCCATCGCTGCTCGCAGCTATATTTTTTGTTTGTTTTTTCGCACAAAAAGTATTCGCGTCGCTTGATAAACATATACGTAGTTGAGCCACGGTAGTCACTTGGGATATTTAAACATTTTCTTCATTGACTTTCTGGGCTGTCAAGAGGCAGTCCCTTAGGAGCCAATGTGGTAGTTATACAGCTCTCAAATTTAATCAAAAATATCTTCATTTGTGTTCCGAAGACGAACGAAGGTCTTACGGGGTTGGTACAGCATGGGGGTGAGTAATTAATGACTTAATTTTCATTTTTGGGTGAACTAACCCTTTAACTGAATGCATTAAAGCAGAAACTTTTTTTTTTGTGTGCAGAAAGCGCACCAAAGTCAACTGCCTTATTGGTTCAGTGTTGAAGTTCCTTCAGTGTCACCTTTGTGCTGGGTTTAATCACATAAAGATGAATCTACCTAAGAGGTACAGTCTCTGTTGTAGACGAGTGCAAACCCCTTTATAGTGTGTTTTCCGTGTAAGTGAGTTGTCTACAGTATATAAACACCCTGTGTACATGTGTAAGTCTGCGTTTGAGTAATGTATTGGTCATCATGTATTTAACCACTTCCCAAATTTCAAAAAATAAGAATTGGCTATTTTGATTTCATGGTGAGTTTAAAGACACCTATAGTTGGGCACTTCATTTAAATTAAATTGTGTATTATACTTATTCGAATACTTTTTAAGAAACAGTTCAAGTAAAAAGGGAGTTCCTGCCTCCAAGGGTTTTTCTGTTGGTTTTGTCTGAATCTTTTGTTTTCTTTAAAGTATGCAATTCTATCTAAAGAGTTAAAAACAATTAAATAAGTTTGGTACTTTACAAAGGAATCTCCCAAATAAATTCCTTTGGTCTGATCGCGATAATGATGTCATACCTGTGACTCGTGCATTTCTAATTTAAAAGCTAACGATTAACTGAAAGGTTATAGCCTATTTATAAATAAAAAAAACTCTGCAGACAAGGAATAACAGTGGGCCTCCTCGGCAGTAGATCTCCCTGCTCCTCCTCCTCAGTTCAGATGAGGGGAGGATCACTCACTCACTGAAATCTGAGACATGTGCTTTACTCGTGAGTTTATCCTGATTCCAGATCGCTCAGTCCATGTGAGAGAATCGGCTGGTTCAAATGGAGATATCTTGCGAGCCGTGCTTACTGCTGGATTTCTAGAGGACAGACTGAAAGAATGATCTCATTTCACAGTGCCGATCTCACACTGGTGCTTCACGTTTATTATTAAGAAGGACTCTACCGGCTGGACCCAAAATTTAAAGCAATGGATCCAGTAACGAGGTGGACACCAAAACAGGTTGTTGACTGGATGAGAGGTGAGTTTAAGATTTGTATTTCTTGCATAATATGTTTGTTTGCTGGTGGTCGTTTAATTTTTAAATGGTCTCTCTTTCCAGTGTACGAATATAGGACGTGTGCTTTGTTTACCTGTAGTACTTTCGACGAAACCAAGATTAGTGTGTCAGCAATGTTTGAGCACCAACAAAACAAACTCCTATGTTTAAAGAAACTCATGTTCTATAGCGTGGTATAAAAAACAAATACATTTATTCGAATAACATCCCGCTGCAGGGTAACGTTACGGCGGGTTTTTGATTGTTATGCAGGAGTACTCCCACAGTTCTTATTGTTTTAGACAGATTTATCAAACCGTTCATCTTTTTTCCAGAAGATAATTATACCCTGCCATTTGTGTGAATGATTGACACATAAAAGGCTATTCTTCAGTGTTGAGAACTTGTTTATTCGTAGCTGTGAATTACAGACGAATTGGAATTGAAATGAATGCCAATCAAATTCAAATCTGATCGGTCATTGACTCACTGTGAATTCGAATCGAGGACCATTATTTGTGTAATCAGGAAATATTAATGTAATAATAATGATTGTGTGAAGTGTGAATATAAGATTCAAATGTGAATTGGACCACCTGTCCTTGCATGAATTGGAGTCAAATTCCACTTATAAAGTTTATTGTCTCAATTGGGAATCTGTGTGGACAGTTGATGTGACACATTAAAAATCTGAAATTCCATGGATAATTATTATGTAGTCTATATGTGTATTATAAATTTACAGCTTTCTTAATGTCTCAATTCATCATGCAATAAGAGAAACATGTAACACGCTCATAACTGCTACTGTTGGCTTATGTTTTGGTGAATTGGTTGCAAACTACTATGCTACAACTACATCACACTTACAGTATGCTTTCATAAAACTGAAGGTCATGTTGGGTTGAGCTGTGGACTGTGTGGTGTGGTATGAGTGTGAATATAGCTGTCTCAAGTTTTGAATAGTTCAAAAAAATGTCTTTCAGTGAATAATAGTAATATTAATATAATTATTATTTTGTCGAACTCAAATTAAAAGTGTCTGGTAGCTATATCAGAGGTTTTTAGCTTCCTTAAAAGTTTGACACATGCTCTAAAGATATGTGTGTGTGTGTGGGTTCAATTGCCCCTAAAGTTTCCTTAAATAAAATTTATGTTTAGATTTTTAGACAGGCATTTTTTTCTGGCACATCTTTTTGATTTTTAATTTGACACTTTTTTTTTAATTTGAGCGGTTTTTGCCGCTCAAACTACTTAAAAACTATCCTAATGGCATTAATTTATCAATATTTGTACTGTCCAACTATATTAATGACTTAATTTGAGGTACACAAGTTAATTTGTCCTTTATCTGACAGTTCTGACTCAGTATCCTGGAGTTATAAATTGCTAAAGGCACAATGGTGACAGTTAAAGGATCAACCGTTGCAGGGTTTGAACCAACAACAATTAGTTACAAGGTGTGTTCAACTGCTATACCTCATGACTCTGAAACAAATGTAAATAGACTTTGAGCACATACAATGATATAGTGTAAACGCAGTGTTGGGAGTAACGCATTACAAAAGTAATACATTACAGTAACATATTACTTTTTGCTGTAACGCAGTAATGTAAGGCATTACTAATCATTTTTCAGTAATATTTTACTCGTTACATGTTCAGTGAGGCTTGTATTACAGTTGTATTACAGTGTATTGTCTGCTTTTACTTCTTAAAGGCAAAAGACTATGTGAAAGTTTTAAAGCAGTCTTTTAGTGCCAGTTCAGAGCGGTCGCGTCTGTAACATTGTTTTTTCCTCATAAATGCGAACACGAAAACTAAAATAAAATGAATATTTTAAGTTCTATGGAGACTGGAGAGCCAACCCTTCCTCATCCGATTTGCGCAGTGTATATTAACAGAATTACAAAAAATATATTTTGCCTCCTATTTTTTTGTCACGCATGAATGTGTGTCTTTTCCCTAATATTAAAAATAAAACAGACTGATATTTGTCTAATGTCTGGAGTCCTTTAAGGAAGTAGCCTATATATATATATACGTTTCAATACATGTATTTTCTGAGAATTTTTATTTCAAGTTTTGACTACAAATGTCATGTCCATAATGCTGGACCCAATTTTAAATAATTTATCCTTAACTAGTTTTGTGGTGTAGGTCTACGTATTTTATAATGTTAACTTCAAATAATACTAATAGCCTAATTTAAAGATAAAGCAGCATTGGATCTGGACGGTAAGGAGAATAACGCTGGAGTTGGAAGAGGTTTGTCGCGATTCTGTAGGTTCGTGGATCTGAGTCGTGTGGCGAATCGCGATTTTGGTTTCATATTGCATATCGTTACAGCCCCAAAGTTAAGTTCTACTTAGTTATTTTGGTGAAAGTAACTCAAAAGTAATACATGAGTAATGTAACGCATTACAATTCTGAGACAGTAATATTGTAAGGTAATGAATTACTTTTAAATAACAGTAACAAGTAATACCTAATGTATTACAGTTTGGAAGTAACTTGCACAACACTGTGTAAACGGTACTAGTACATTGCAAACATACAGAAAAAAAAGAACAGGAGCATCAGTTCTCTGTTGAATGAAATGCCTAAGGCTTGTAGTGGTTCACGTCTGGGCTTTTGTTTCTCTGCACTGCTTCATTTATAAATTATTTGATTTCTCTATGCTCACAAAAGTCAGTTGCATTAAATAAATAAAACATTCAGGGAAAAGTAGCCGACCTTCTCACACATTCTTGCAAACAAACATGCATGAACAGACGGTAAAAGTTGAATGGCAAGTCTTTAAAACATTTGCTTGTATATTCATGGAATGCTACTGTATATGCAAAAACTGCAGTGAATAATTTCAAACTTACGAAATTGAGTTTCATTCCTCCCCTTCTCCTCCCTCTACACTTGTTGAGGGACAGTTGGTTTTCTTTACAGTCTTTTTCAAAACTTCAGAAACATCCAAAAGATGAATGAGTTACAAAACCTAAATAAAGTAAAAGTACTCAATGAGCTGAATTCCAAAACCTGATTCATTTTCTTTATTTGTGAATTAATGTTTTTTTTGTAATCATTCAATGCAATGATACTCAAAGCAATTCATCTACAAATTATCGCCACTTTTCTTGCAAATCCTCTGTTCTTGCAAGGAGAGCTAGGATAAGGTTTTAGTCACATTGACTTGATTTATGGTGTTCTTGCATCATTTTTGAGGATTAAAAGGTCCAAACCCCATTCATTTAATTGCATGAAAAACATCCATCAGAAATTCTGTTTTGAAATGTTTGGTGTTGACATGATGTGGGTGTTTAAATTACAGACTTCTCATTTCTTTTAGAAACTAGTCGTTCAAGGTCAACACTGATTTTGACCAGCTATCCAAGATGCTGATTAGTGTATTGTATTGCACCAAACTAGGGCTGTGTATATATATATAATATATATGAATATAATATTTAATACAGAGCCCACGATGTGACTTATATCATGTGGGTCTGCACTAAATTTATTTCATCTCAGCAGTATTTAGTATAACAGCTGTTGCCATTGCAAAAGCAGTCAGTTCCCCTCTTCACTGTAACAATATAGTTAATGGCATAGGTTTCATATTAACATTGGGCAATCCCCTCCAGATAATTAATAATGATAATTAAATTTAGATCACGTACATGCATTCACTCACACAGATCGTGCTGCACACACAGAAACTTCTCAACGCGGCCATGCAATTTTTATCACTAAAATAGCTTCTCAGCTGAACTCAGCAAGAAGTTGCTAGCATCACTATTTTTGAAGCAATTATAGTCACTGCTTAACTGTTAATAGAGAGACGCTGCTACAGAATGAGGGAACTCATTCATGCACAATCTCTCTCTCTTTCTCTGGCCCATTTATGAACAGACTTGATCAAACTTTTCTGTTAATAGAATATCAAACTGGAAATCCTTGTACTGCAAGCTTACCGGTGTTTTCACAAAGGCTAGTGCTTGAACATGGTTGCCAGGTTGAGAAAAACTAGTAAAACACTTTGAGCAGATACTTCAGTTTTGCGCAAGTGTAAATGTCTATTCTATTCATCAATGTCTGTTGTTGTCATTAATAAAAACTGTTGTTGTATTCAAATTAAGATACAGAAGCAGCTGTATTCTTACTCGTATATGTTTTGCAGTACAACATTGTACATTGTATACACACATAAGTACATTGTACCTTTTTTTGACGTTTGACGATTTTGACAATGCATCTATATGGACAAAGCGTCTGTGACGTCACCCATAGACTTTCTGAAGTACAGTTTTGAGGCTGTTTATGGGGGGTGTGGGTGGCGCCATATTAGAAAATCTTTGGAAATACAAAAGTTTCAGAAAGGATACAGAGGTGGTATGATGTGTTGTGTCAGACGGCCGAGACGTCAAATTCCACTTGGCACAGCCCGTTATCAGCTGTCAATCAAAGTTAACCGCCCTTATTTGTCATACATTTTATATCGAAATACGATCTAAACTAACAAATTTAAAAAAAATTCACCCCCCTCACAGTTGTCAGGCACTGGGAACCTATCGAAAAATACAATAAAAGTCCATGGGACCAAACTGTAAACATGCTTGGACATTTTAATATGAAGTCTATGGATATTTGCTCCCTTTTGGGACCTGCCCCTAGTGGACTTCTGATGTATTGCAGTTTTTTGCACTTCCGGGTAGGCTTCATTTTTCACATTAGAATGTTGCCGCTTGGTCTAAATCTGACGCACATGGCACCCGTCAATATAACACGCTACTGTTATGGGTAGGTTTAGGTCTAGGGTGGCGTTAGGGTTGGAAAACTAGGAGGCGTCTTCTGGCCCATACATATCTGCGTCTCATATTGACGCTAAAGGGTGCCATGTGCATCGGATGTTGACGCATTGTCAAAAGCGTCAGTTAGATGATGCCTTGGGATGAGACCGGGCTGGAATTATACACTGCAATGATGCT